GTCCTATGCAATCCCGCCAACACTGAAAAGATTCTGCAAATGTCCTTTAAGCTTTTTGATCTTAATGTGGATGGTTTAATAACAGAACAGGGGTTTGCTGCTATAATTCAGGCAGCTTTTGGAGTGCCAAATCTTGATGTTTCCAGGCTCTTTCAGTACATAACTGGACAGAAATCAGTGTACATTTCTGTAAGAAATGTAAGAAATAAGAAATTTGCCCTGAAGCATCCAGCATATGCCAGGTTATTTAATTCACATCTAGACCTCCAGGCAGCCTGTATATATCCATAACCCCAAAAAGTACAGTTTTAATCACACTGTATTCAAATGTTACAGGTTAGCCCTGAAAATAGTGAAAGTACCTTCTAGGTAGAAATGATGATTGAAACAGAAATTATTCTCTGAGGAAAAACTCAATAGTTTTCACTCTAAGAGGCATCGGCACTTAATTATGATATTTAAAATATGCTTGAGGAACATTTCAGTTAGATTTTATGGTACCTATTTTTCTTCTTTCTTAAGATAATGTTTGTTTTACTGTGACCTAAATGTAGAAGAATAAGTGATCTAGTCATAAACCTTGTTCACCCAGCAGGGTTGTAGTTAGTGCCTTTATTGTATTTAATGCTATAATAAGGCCAGAGAAACATTAGAGCCAATCACCTCTCCCTCACTGTTACAGAAGAAATATCTCATTAAGAGCTACACTGGGGTGGGCACGGTGGCTCACACCTGTAATCCCAGCACTTTGTGAGGGTAAGGTGGAGAATCACTTGGGTCCAGGTGTTTGAGACCATCCCAGGCAACATGACAAAACCCTGTCTCTACAAAAAATATAAAATTAGCCCAGTGTGGTGGTGTGTGCCTGTAGCCCCAGCTACTTGGAGGCTGAGATGGGAGGATCACTTGAGCCCAGGCAGCAGATGTTGCCGTGAGCAGATACTGCGCCACTGCATCAGCTTGAGAGACAAAGACCTCATCTCAAAAAAGAGGAAAAAAAGGGGCTACATTGGCAGTAAATAAAAACATTTAATTACCATTTGCATTTCCTCTGTAAAAAGGAAAGAGCTATATAAATAACTATTAGTCATTCAAAAAGTAGCCTCAATTTCTTATTTTTCAAGACAAAATAAATATTTGGAAGATACAGTATTGGGAATACATTGCAACAGTTATATATGGTATGCCTGTCCCCTGCTTGCCTTTTTAAAGTAGAGAAGTAATTATTTAGAATGAGAAATCACAACAGATTACAATTTCTGGAAAGCTGAAAAAATATCATAAACATAGGTCATAAATGTAGGAATTTTGACAAATTTCATTTTGTATGACTTTAATCAAAACACAAAAAAATTGTGTTTATAATTAACATGGTCTGTATTACTGAGAATATTTCTTTTGTTCCAATAAGGCATAAATGAGAATTGAAGCCTTTACTTACATTTATTTCAGCTTCCATTTATTACACATTTATTTCCAAAACCTGTTGCTATGTGACATCTTCACACAGTGATGTGACCCTTGGACCCTACCCCTTCATGTCACCATGCAGGATGAATTAGCAAAGTATTCCTGGACACATTCCTATACCAGGGCAGGGAGCAACAACCTATCTAGACATGGAAGTGAATGTGAACTGATAAACATACTCTGTTAGCCCTAATCACTGAATCTCCTACTCAATTTCATTGTGGCTGAATCTCAAAAATGCTTGTAGCTACTCAGTAGCACCAGATATGAGGCAACATTTGACCAAAGTTTGCCAACTTTACAAAAACATAACCAAGCAAAAACATTTTTAGAGACTCTACTAGAATCCTAATAAGGGACTTATGGAAGTGGGGCCCCTAAAGCTTTAACTTTGTCAGTTTCCTGATACTTTCAGAAAGTAGAAAGAAAGTAGAATGGGAGAAAGGTAAGGAGATGAGGAAGGGAAGGAAAGGAAAAGAAAAAAAAAAGTCAAATATTATTTTGAGATAATTTCCATGTAGTTCTGCCCTAAAAAAAAAAAAAAAAAAAAAAAAGGATATGGATAAGTGATTTTTCTTTTTTTTTTGAGACGGAGTTTCGCTCTTGTTACCCAGGCTGGAGTGCAATGGCACAATCTCGGCTCACCACAACCTCCACCTCCTGGGTTCAAGCAATTCTCCTGCCTCAGCCTCCCAAGTAGCTGGGACTACAGGCGCGCACCACCATGCTCAGCTAATTTTTGTATTTTTAATAGAGAGGGGATTTCACCTTGTTGACCAGGATGGTCTCGATCTCTTGACCTTGTGATCCACCTGCCTCAGTCTCCCAAAGTGCTGGGATTATAGGTGTCAGCCACCGCGCCCAGCCCGTGATTTTTCATAATACCCATCCAGTGCAATATTCCCATGACAATAAATGCATATATATAATTCAGTACAATGACTTTTTAAGTGAATGTATTGAATATTATTCTTTTAAGTAAGAACTTTCACTCAAAAGTAGTTACCAAGCAATATCTTTATTCAAACAGTGGTAGTGCTACTTAAACATTGTAGAACGCTTTTAAGGTTGTTTCTCATTAGATAGTGAGCTATACAAAAAATCACGGTCATTATTATACTCTCTACATTTTAACTTCAAATGTTTAGCTGGGCATGATGGTGCAGGCCCACAGTCCCAGCTCCTCAGGAGGCTGAGGTGGGAGGATTGCTTGAGCTAGGGAGGCCCAGGTTGCAGTGAGCTGAGATAACACCACTGCACTCCAGCCTGGGCCACAAAGCAAGACTCTCTTTCTCTCAAAAAAAAAAAAAGGTTTGACATAGCTTTGTTTAAACCCTCTTTGACACTTAACATTTAATTTTTTGAAACTTTAAATACAAATACAGAAAAAACACATCAAGGAAATCTATAGTTAATAATAATTATTTTATATTATAAATATCTATATTACATATTCTAAATATAATCTGTTTTAAGATGAACACTCTTGCAACCAACACTCAGATTGAGAAATAAAACTAGTCCAGCCACCTTACAAGTTTTTCTATACCCCTGTCATAATTACAAACTCCCTCTTCCTCTCAAAATTAAGCTCCTTTCCTGACTTGGATAGCTTCACTTCCTATATTTCTTTACTTTATAATCACTTAAATGTGCACGTTTTGATACTGTGATGCTTAATTTTATGTGTCAACTTGGCTAGGCTATGGTACCCAGATATTTGGTCACGGGTTATTCAAGATGTTTCTGTGATGAGAGTGTTTATATGATATTAACATTTAAATCAGTAAACTGTGGGTAAAGCTGATTGCCCTTCATAATGTAGGTGGGCCTCATCCAATCAGTTAAGGCCTTAATAGAAAAAGACTGACCTACCCTGAAGAGGAGGGAATTCTGACAGCAAACTGCCTGTAGACTTAAAGTGCAATTCTTCCCTGGGTCTCCAGTCTGCAGGCCTACCTGCAGATTTTGAGGTTGCCAGGTTGGGAAAAGCAGCAGAGGAGAAAGGACTTACAGAGTGCCTACATAAATTGGTTATGTGTGTAACACATAACAAGGAACAACAACTGCATTAGGCTGCAGGAGGCCTCTTCATGCCTCGTGTTCTGGTGCGGGGTGACCTAAGCTCTGTTACCATAAACATTGTGCTCAAAGACATAAAACCCCTTCGTAGCACTGTGATGTAGCCAGACGTGTAGGCTCCTTGTAAGGCCTTAGTTCCTTCAGCAGCACATAGAAAATAGACTAAAGATAACCACATGTTCTTGTTTTGTGAAACTCCCAAACCGCCACTGTTATCAGTCCTTAGAATGACACCAGTTCCAGCTCACTGATTCACTCCACCATCACTCCACCCCTACCCTATAGATTCAAGTGATTGTAACTAATAAATAGTGTGGATGATCATAGCTCAGGGCCTTCACTGTCTCCTCCAAAGTAATGAGTGGTGGCTCCCTGGTCCCACTATCTCTCTTAATCTGTCTTTTTCTCATTCCTTTGTCGCCACTGAACACAGGGTATCCATGGGTGATGTAGGGCTTACAATTGTGTAAGCCGGTTTCTTAAATCCTGCCCCCCTACCCCATATGTGTGTGTCTGTGTGTGTGTGTGTATATATATACATATACATACATACATATATATATACACACACAGACACACACACACACACACAACACAAACACACAGAGTTCTCCAGAGAAATATAACCAATTGGATATATATATGTATATATATCCAGAGAAACAGAAAACTCTGACTAATAATAGATGCTATTCCTAGATCCTATAGTTTATTCATGCCCATTTTTGACATTGGATTTTTTTCCCCCTACATTGTAGCCAATGAAATATACATTTTTAGGCCTTTTTAAATCTACAGATTTCCCCTCCATCCCTTTCTTTTGATTATACTTTTTCTATTGCAGAACCTAGGCTGTTTGATCTGTGGAATTTCCCATAGTCTGCATTTTGCCAACTGCATATTTATGGTACAAATCAGCATATCCTTCTGCCTTTTTTATTTTTTGCAGATTGGAATCCAGAGGCATGATCAAATTCAGGTTTGATTCATTTGGCAAGATCATACATGTAGTGTGTTCTTCATAAAAAAGCATATATTGCCTTTTTCTTTTTGTGATTTTTGCAGCTATTGCTGCTCACCACTTAGCTCATTGGGAATTGCAATATGGTGCTATTCTGATTCTGTAATCCCTTTTTCAAAATGGTGTTTCCAAATGGCTGCCTATTCTTAAATTTGATGGCAGGAAGAAATCAAAGTCACAAGGTCTTTGCTATACATGAAGACAAAGCCACAAGGTCTTTGCTATATATGAAGACCTTCAGTGCTCATCATCACTATCACCTTGGAAAACCCACCACATCCATTGGAGCTAGTAACACTCAACTGCTGGGAGGAAACAAACACTAACAGCAAAATGACATTGCCTCTTAGAATGGAAGACATTGCTGAGGGGAAAGGTAAAACTCTAGAGAGTAACCTTCAAAACTACTTGTGATGATAAGTGATAAGCTAATAATACAAACCATAGCAGGATTTTACATGGATTATCTCATTTAGTTTTTCTAAACACCACATGAGATACTCTTATCTCCATTATAGGGAAATTGAGGCTTGGAGAGCTTCATGATCAGCTCAATAAACTAGAGCTCAACAGACTTATATTAGACCAGTAGGCTAGGTCACACAACTAATAAACAACTTAAATTGGATTCAATATCATAATTCTAAAGACTATGCTTTTAACCATTACATACATGCAGGGAAGAGTCCGGAAACAGTATGCAAGGTTTGTGCAGAATTCTCAGCTTTCTCAGTTGTATTTGCTGCTGTCAGCACTGAGAGGACATTGAACAGATTAACAGTTGACCAATTCTAAGGCAAAAAATTACTGCATCCTCACCCTTGGGCAAAGAACATTCAGCATTTTTTTTTTTTTTTTTTTTTTTTTTGAGACAGGATCTTGCTTTGTCATCCAGGCTGGTTTGCAGTGGTGTGATCTCAGCTCACTGCAACATCCACCTCCTGGGCTCAAGATCCTCCTGCTTCAGCCTCCTGAGTAACCAGGACCACAGGTGTGCACCACAACCCAGGGCTAATTTTTTTTATAATGTCCGGATTTTGCCAGATTGCCCAGGCTGGTCTCAAACTCCTGGACTCAAGTGGTCCACCTGCCTTGGTCTTCCAAAATGTTAGGATTACAGATGTGAGCCACTGTACCAGCCAATAATATATTTTTTAAAGCAATGTATATGAAGCCTCTGTAATTAAATCTGTGATATTGGCACATGAATAGATGGCCTGAACAATGTGATAGAATAGAAAGTCCAGAAATAGAACTAACGGACACACAATTTAGCATATTATAAAAGTGGCATTTAAAGTAAGAAGGAGAAAAGTTGACCCTTTTTTTGTCTCTGGAAATTTTAATTTGTTCTGACAACAAAACTAACACAGCATGAAAACTTAAGCCCTCAAGCTAGGCAAGACACTGATGGCCCTTGGAGAAAGCACCAGGGCACCTGGCAGGAGGTGCTAAGATGGGTTCTTGGTCGGAAAGGAATGAGGCACACACATAAACCGTGGGAAAGATTTAGGTGTCAACGCCCAAGCCAGAATAGCAATAAGGATGGACAGTCTCAGACTTAGTCTGTGTTTAAAAAGACTGAAATACCCTTCTCTGCAATTATGAGGGAGAGGTGTAGGGGAAGGGAGGCAGGCAGCTTACTACTTGACCTTCACTGACCTATAATATCTGAGAGCAAAGTTAAATAGAATGAGGCTGGTTGCAAGCATTGGGAAGAGGTGGTGGTCCTCAGGGTAAATGAGTCAAACCCTGGTCTTGGAATTCAGCTTCCAGGGCCAGAATAGCATCTCTTCCTTCTGCGAAGGTCACCTGAGCTCACAGGACTGGGGATGTCGGCTTCAGACCCTCCTGATCCCTGGTTGTTGAGATTCAAAAGCCTTGGAGCAGTGAAGAAGTGTCTTTCCAGGATTTTCTTTCCCAATCAGTCAGCAGCCAACTTTCCTGAAAGAATGTCCTTTCTACTCAATCTGCCCAGGAAGGTGGGACTGTGGCCAGCCCTCAGGTAGGGCCTCTGGGAGGCCTCTGTGTTCCTGGCTGGAGAGTGCGCACAGTTTGCAGAGGCTCAGAACTCCCAATCGTCCACCTCTAGCTCTTCCAGGTTTGTTACTCAGCCAAAGATTCCACTGCAGTCCTGAGACTGGCTGCCTTCAAAACTGGTGATGGGGGTGACAGGACAAAGCAATTCAGGCAAAGCCTCTGAGGCACGTCGCTTGATCTGCTTGAAAAAGAGTGGTTCAGGAGGGTGCTGGTGTTCTGCCAGGCATCTGGGTTGCACTGAAGGCACTGCTCCACAAAGTGGTGGAAGTGGGAGAAGGTTCGGTGGTAAGGGTGAGTAGGCGAGTTGCCATTGGAGGCCAGGGGTTGCTGGTGGTCAGGCTTTCATTCAGGCCTGAGTTGGCCACTGAGCATGAAGGGCTCATGGTCAGCTCCTTGGAGAAGATGGTGCTGGTATCCAACAGGCAGGGCACTGTGCCATTCAATTTCTCTGCAGCATCTGGGTAGTAGGCATATTCTTAAAAGGGGACGTGGCCATTGGCCAGTTCACACACTGTGATTCCCACACTGTAGATGTCAGCCTTGGCATCATAACCCTGGAGATTCTTCTGGGGACCTCAGGGCCGAGCCACAGCAGAACCTTGACACTGTACTCGGGAAAGTCGTGGACCACTCACTGCCACTGCTGGTGGCTTATCATGCTGAGGTTGCTGCACAAACCAGACAGGTAGACCTTCCCATCCACAGAGATGAGGATGTGGCTCGTTTTGACACTCCTGTGTACATATCCGATGTGGTGGATGTAGTCGAGGGCCTTCAGCACCCCTGCAGGATGTAAGTGATTGCCAGCTCATTCATGCCATCCATAAAGTGTGTACAGATGAGATCCTTTGCAGAACCATACGCCATTAATGATGTGACAACCCACAGCTCATTGTCATTGTCTGCAATAAAGTTGGCTCGATATGGCACAATATTGGGATGTTTGAAGAGTCTAGAGATATGCAGCTTGCCCTGCAATAATGCTACCATCGCACTGGAACAAGCTTCCAGGTTAATCTTGCAGTCATATACTCTCCCATTAGTTTGTACCTTGCTAGATTCAAAGTTGTCAGGTCCTCAAATCCTTTGCCTACCCCAGTGAGCAGTTCATAACACCATCCCTCTGGCAGAAAGCTACTCATGATTTCCTGATTAGAAAAGGATGCTATCGACTCTGAGATCACCTCCTTGGTCCTGATTTGCTCTGGTTTACTTACAAGGAAAGACATGAGTTCCTACTGTGTAGACCTACTTCAGTTTCAAAAACTTAAACCTGTTCATAGAGTTAGCGAGCAGTCCTGACCGTCTTGGCTCTGCCTCCTCAGTTTTATGACTGTGCAGCCCAAAAGCTGACTTTTAATAAATAGTATTGGGATAACTAGATGGCCACTTGGAAAAAATAAAATATAAAATTAGATATTTTCTTTATACCATGTAACAAGATAAATTCCAAATGAATTAAACAGCTAAGTATAAAAAGTGAAATCACACATTATTAGGGAAAAGCGTAAGAATTCTTTTACAATCTGAAAGTTGGAATAATCTTTCTACCTATGACTCAAAGTCCAGAAACAATGAACAAAAAGAAAGAATAAATTTGACTACATAAAACAAAAACATCAAGGCAAACAAAACAAAACACTAAAAGCCAAGCCAAGTTGGAAGACAAATGACAAATGGAAAAATATATTTGCAAATTATATCACAGACAACACTAATATCTCCAACATCTAAAAATAGAGAAAAGATCAAAAGCAAAATGGGCAAAGGATATAAATAGCCACTCAAAGAAGAAACTAAAATAGCAGTTGACACACCGGTGCTGGCAACACGGGAGTGGCTAATGCATCCTCTTTCTGTTCCCAGTGTTTGGGCCTTGCTTCTGACAGTGGGAAAAGAAAATGGCTTTGCTGTGCTACAGCTGGGACTGTGGTCAGTGCTTCAATCCTGAGACCAATTCCAATGATGCTTCCACATACCACCCAGGTGTTCCAGTTTTTCATGACGCATTAAAGGTTTGGTCTTGCTGTAAGTGAAGAACAAATGATTTTTCTGATTTATTTTTTATTTATTTATTTAATTATTATTTTTTAAAGATGGGGTTTCACCATAATGGCCAGGCTGGTCTTGAACTCCTGGCCTCAGGTGATCCACCCACCTCGGCCTCCCAAAGTGCTAGGATTACAGGCATGAGCCACCGCACCCGGCCCAATTTTTCTGATTTCTTAAGCATCATATATTGTACAAAAGGTAGATATGACAGTGAGAAGCCACTTGAGCCAGTCAAATCTGAAGTCAAGACTACTGAGAAGAAAGATCTGAATTGAAACCCAAATTTCAGGAACACATCATTCAAGCCCCTAAGCCAGTAGAAGCAATAAAAAGGCCAAGCCCAGATGAACCAATGACAAATTTGGAATTAAAAATATCTGCCTACCTAAAACAAGCACTTAATAAACTTAAACCATCATTAGGGAATGAAGAAGATAATAATAAAGAAGACAAAGATGAAATTAAGATTGGGACCTCACGTAAGAATGAAGGCTGTTCAAAGACATATCGGGGCCTAGAGAGTCTAAAAGAAGTTTGTGTGTATCATTCTGGAGTACCTATTTTCCATGAGGGGATGAAATACTGGAGCTGTTGTAGAAGAAAAACTTCTGATTTTGTTTTATTTATTTATTTATTTTGAGATGGAGTTTCGCTCTTGTTACCCAGGCTGGAGTGCAATGGCGTGATCTCGGCTCACTGCAACCTCCGCCTCCTGGGTTCAGGCAATTCTCCTGCCTCAGCCTCCTGAGTAGCTGGAATTACAGGCATGCGCCACCATGCCCAGCTAATATTTTGTATTTTTAGTAGAGACGGGGTTCCACCATGTTGACCAGGATGGTCTTGACCTCCTGACCTCGTGATCCACCCGCCTCGGCCTCCCAAAGTACTGGGATTACAGGCTTGAGCCACCGCGCCTGGCCCCAAACTTCTGATTTTAATACCCAAAAGGGCTGTCAACTGGGAAACACATGTGGACTAAAAAGGATGCTGGAAAAAAAGTTCCACGTAGCCACGACTGGCATCAGACTGGAGGTGAAGTTACCATTTCAATATACACTAAAAATTCACTTCCAGAACTTAGTCGAGTAGAAGTAAACAGCACATTGTTAAATGTGCACAATTGTATTTGAAGGAGAGAAAGAATTTGATCAAAATGTGAAATTATGGGGTGTGATTGATGTAAATCGAAGTTATGTATCTATGACTGCAACAAAGATTGAGATCACAGTGAGAAAAGCTGAACCGATGCAGTCGGCAAGTCTTGAAGTTCCTGCAGCAAAAAAGGAGGAAAAACAAAAAGATGACACAACAAACTGAGTGGGAGATGGGAGGAAGGCTATTACATATTTCAGAATTCTTAACACTGTGTGAGGTGGCGGCTTGCTGCTGTAATCTTTTGTTCTGTTGTTGTGTTACTGAATCTGCATTTCAGGGTTAACATTAGGTCCTTAAAAGTCAAAGTCAGTTTGTCTTTTTGTACCTCTCATCTTTCTTTTGTCTTATGTAAGATTGATTATGAATTTCTCCTTACTGGTAGGAACCATAGCTGTGTTCTGTACTTGAAGAGACTGCAAAATAGCGCATAACCACTGCAGTATTTCTATTTCTGTTAAGCAGAGAAATATTAAGGAACATGTTTTTTTATGTCTATTATTCCATAATTAGTAAAGCAGAATGAAATATCAAATTTTAATAAGTTTTTTCATGGATTTGTGTTCTTACATAACTTGAAAATATTTAAGGAAGAGATGAAACTCTGCAGGTTTTTCTATGTGGGATGATTACTTTTTTAAGGAGGATTAATTCTGAGGTAGCGAAGTAAAGGGGAATGTATGAATTGTTTAACAAATTAGAATTTGTTTACAACTACTTGAATTTTTAAATTATGTCAAAACTTACATTACTTGCCAAGCAGTATCCTGTAAGAGCATAGAAAATATATGCCGGCCGGGCACAGTGGCTCACGCCTGTAATCCCAGCACTTTGGGAGGCCGAGGCAGGTGGATCACGAGGTCAAGAGATCGAGACCATCCTGGTCAACAAGGTGAAACCCTGTCTCTACTAAAAATACAGAAATTAGCTGGGCATGGTGGCATGTGCCTGTAATCCCAGCTACTTGGGAAGCTGAGGCAGGAGAATTGCTTGAACCCAGGAGGCAGAGGCTGCGGTGAGCTGAGATTGCACCATTGTACTCTAGTCTGGGTAACAAGAGTGATACTCCATCTCAAAAAAAAAAAAAAAAAAAAAAAAAAGGAAAGAATACAGAGGTATCAATTTGGTTAAAATTCACCATTTTATAAGACTAAGCAATAATCTTAAAAATCTCTTTCCTGAATATTTAAATGTGTTTGTATGGTGTTATGACTAAATTGTTACTGATTTAGAGACTAAACCCTCTTAAAACCTTTAGTTAAATATGAACAGAAATTATATATATCTTGCCTCCCTGATGGAAAACTATATAAAATTGTAAACATAAAAGGTTTGTGGAGGCCGGGTGTGGTGGTCCACACTTGTAATCCCAGCACTTTGGGAAGCTTAGGTGGGCGGATCACGAGGTCAGGAGATTGAGACCATCCTGGCTAACACAGTGAAATCCCATTTCTACTAAAAATACAAAAAATTAGCTGGACTACAGGCCGTGGTGGCACGGGCCTGTAGTCCCTGCTACTCAGGAGGCTGAGACAGGAGAATCACTTGAACCCAGGAGGTGGAGGTTGCAGTAAGCTGAGATCGCACCACTGCACTCTACCCTGGGTGACAAAGTGAGACTCTGTCTCAAAAAAAAAAAGCGGTTTATGGAATTACATTAGGATATCAGAAAACTAAACATATGAACTTGCTTTATGACTACCTATTACATGTTAAATAAAATAGCTTAATTCTTTTGTAGTTTTTTTAAAAAACTAATTTATGAAAAGCTTCATCATTCTAGTGATATAATGTTGATTATATATTGTTCTTTATAGTAAATATAGGTAACACAGAATTAGATCATTTGGATAGGTTTTGAGGCAGTGCAGAGCTCAAGAAGAAAAATCAGGAAATATTATGAAGGCCAGAACTCTGGAAGAACTTAGAAAGTTTGGGAATAAATTAAACTTATAAAGATTTAAAATAAAAATAAAAGGGTTTCTTTCCCAAACCCCTTGAGTGTTTTCTTTTCCTTGGTATTTATGGAATTCTTACAAAAAAATTTGCAGAAGTACTATTTTCATTAATAAAGCATATATATCATTCTATTACCATTGGCAAATAACTTAGATGAAGTTAACATAATTCTGTTCTGTTACAAATAAAAACAAAAAGATCTGGCAACCAGACTTTCATAACGTTACACTACCATGACAAGAAACTCTGGGCAGTAAAAGTTGGACCCACATAGAGTGCATAAGCATCTAATATCTTGAGATGTATTTAAAATTTTTCAAGTTGTCTTTCATGATTTAGGAACCATTTAGAGACATGAAGTCTTTATGGGTTGGGGAAAAAGTTAGTTTGATTAAAGGTAATGATTAAGATACCTTTTTTTTTAATACTTCCTTCTGAGGCTGTTTTCCCCTAAACATATCTTAATCTGTTATATGTGATTGAAATATTATTTAAAGCAATGAGTTCTTGTAAACTCAGATTAGTTACATTGATCAAAACATTGATTTTTTTAAATCTACACACACACACACACACACACACACACACACACACACACACACAGCTTTTATATTTAGTCTGTTTACATTAGCGACCATGGTATTTCATTTCTTATTTCTTAAGGAGTCTTTGAATTTGTTGTTCAGATAAAAATCTGAATGATATTTATCTTTGACTCATACATAAAGGGACAAAGTTATTGTTAGGTAGCATATGTTTTACTATCAGTTTGTCAAAAAAATGTTAATAAAAATGCTTAGTTTAGTGAAATGTAGTGGAATTGCTGCCATAAAAAGAAATGACAAAGATCTGCATTTGTATGGCATAACCTCTATGATACTGTTAAATGAGGAAAACAAGATGCAGAATAGTAAATATCGTATGCATGTCACCTTATGTTTAAGAAGGGGTGATCTGAGTATAAGGAATATGTGGAATACACACATATACATATACACATTTGTTCTTTTTTCCAAGATAATAAAGGAATTTACCCACTTTGTTTCTAGTGGTATGTAGTTTCACTTTTTATATTTAGCTGTCTTATCCATCGAATTTTTAAATACAGTTCTCCTTTTTTTTTTTTGAGTCAGAGTTTCACTCTTGTCACCCAGGCTGGAGTACAGTGGCTCAATATAGACTCACTGCAACCTCTACCTCCCAGGTTCAAGCAATTCTCCTGCCTAGGTCCCCCAAGTAGCTGGGATTACAGGGCTGCACCACCATCACCGGCTAATTTTGTATTTTTAGTAGAGACAGGGTTTCACCATGTTGGCCAGGCAGGTCTCAAACTCTGGACCTCAGGAGATACTCCCACCTCAGCCTCCCAAAGTGCTTGGATTACAGGTTTGAACCACTGTGGCCAGTGAATTTTTATATACAGTTCTTAAAACAAAAACAAAACCATAATGGCCAGGCTGGTCTCGAATACCTGACCTCAAGTGATCTGCCCCCTCAGCCTTCCAATGTGCTGGGATTACAGGCATGAGCCACCACACCCAGCCTAACTTAAGTGGTTTTAACTGTGGCACATGCCTACAGTTCCAGCTACTCAGGAGGCTGAGGCAGGAAGATCACTTCAGCCCAGCCAGGAGGTCAAGGCCAGCCTGGACAAGATGACAAGACTTCCGTCTGTCTGTCTGTCTGTCTGTCTCTCTCTCTGAAAAGCTTTTCTTTTCTTTTTTAAAATTTATTGAGATGGAGTCTCCCTTTGTTGCCCAGACCCTGCCCAAACTCCCTCTGTTGCCTGGAGTCCCCCTCTGTTGCCTAGAAGAATTGCTTGAACCCGGGAGGTGGAGGTTGTGGTGAGCCAAGATCGCGTCATTTCACTCCACCCTGGGCAGCAAGAGCAAAACTCCGTCTCAGAAAAAAAAAAAAAAATTACAAGTTTAGCCATGTTAACCTTCACAGCTCCCACTGCTAGGTTCTTACACTCTTTTCCTCCTGATCAAAAATTCTGTCAGGAAGAACATCTGAAAACCTCACTGACATTAGGGATAAATGACTACTGAGATGAATTAAAATAAAAATAATGCTTTAAGTATTCTCTAATGGTAGAATGTGAACCATCAACGAAAAGATTTTTTTTCTTTTTTTTTCATTTTTAGAGACAGTCTTGTTCTATTGCCCAGGCTATGCAGTGCAATGCTGCAATGTGATCATAACTTACTGCAGCCTCGAACTCCTGCCCTCAAGCAATCCTCCCACCTCAGCCTCCCAATGTTAGAATTACAGGTGTGAGCTACTATGCCCCGCCATGTTTTGTTTTTTAAGGGAGTACTTACTTATTTTTTAATCATTTCACATAGCCGCCTAAGTTACCTTAAGTTTCTTCTTTTAAATTTTTTTTTTTTGAGACGGAATCTCGCTCTGTCACCCAGCCTGGAGTGCAGTAGTATGATCTCAGCTCACTGCAACCTTCGCCTCCCAGGTTCAAGTGATTCTCCTGCGTCAGCCTCCTGAGCAGCTGGAACCAAAGGCATGCACCACCACG